CTGTACCAACATTCAGTAGCTTGAAATGCCCATTCTCATATTGCTGCTTTAGCCATGAGAAACTTACCCTCTGTGTCCGATCAGTATGTCGTAGAACACCAGCTTGTCCTAGCAACAGAAGAGTGATAGTTGCCTGGTTATCCTCCATGTGTCTAACCTCAAAGCTTCCAGGGAGTTGGACACAGAGGCCGTTGATGTCTGCGATCGACAAACCATCCGGTCTAGTAGACCCATAACGAATTTCATCAAGCTCAAGGTCAATCCGTGCGACTATAGAGTCTACCCTCTCAGCCCTTGGCTCGGCCTTGCGGCCGGCATCGCCACGCCAAAGAAAGTACCACAAGCTCAGGCACGGTAGACCTTCGGCACGTAAGCCATGGTTTGCCGCTACAACTTCGGACTCAGTAGAGCTCATTGTGATCGAAGTTTGCTTTTTGCTAAAGGCAGTGAGCGGGAAGTACGTGTTTGGTCCAACCAGAAACATCGCACACCCAGTTGTTGACTTTGAGTCAAACTCACCCGCAAAGTCGGAATCACTGAACAACCAAAGTCTGCAATCCATGATGCTGTCACCTATGAAACCACTCATTGTGACATCAAGCGTAGAGTTGATGTAGCAAACCAACCGATGAAGTCCCAAATCGCAATCTGGGCTCCACTTGGTCACCCTCGACGCCAAAGACTGCGTTGCCCTTAATAGATCCCATCTTGCCATGCGAGCAGCAAATAAAATGTTCATCAATACCTTACTTGCGATCGGTTGCAACCGCCCTGCCTTCTCCCCCTCAGATGCCGTTGGCAATGCCACACGAAGCTCATGGAAGGGAGTCGCAGCTGGTTTCAGGGTTTTGCGCTCAACTTTGGCAAGCTCGCAATAACGCTCAACACAGGAATCAAGGAAGTCCTTCATGTCATAAGTGATGCGTGTGACTGGTTTCGTCATTGCACCGGGCTTCGATTTCTGATCTTGCGAAAGAGAGATGAACTTGCTTTGCTTCGCCTCTTTCTTAGCCTCAGACTTGTTACGAACCGGCTTACCCTTAGCCTTGCGGGTAGCTGCAACTGCCAGCTCGAAATCAGACTGTTCCCGGCCTGCGAGGTCGAAGTAGGTTTCGCCATCCCACCAATCCTGGAGGCAGCGATCGCGCGATTGGTTGCAATTGTCAACAACAACTTCCTCCGACTCACCCTTGCGGGTGGCTTTAGCCACCACCGTGTAACGCCGAGGGCCAATCCCCGGGAAAATTCTAGCATCATCCTCGTTGGGGACATGAAGTCTCTTGCGAGGGTAGCGGTGATGTCGGATTGCTAATAGATTCTCGGGGTCAATGTCCCAATAATCTTCCTTGCTAGCAGGAGTTGCAGCTGAAGTCTCGGGTTCAAATACATGATGGAATGGGTGTGCTTCCTTGGGCAGCTTGAGGTTGTGTTCTTCCTTGTGCATGCACCCAAAGTATCTACCAATGACTTCCGGAAGATCCATGTCAATGACACTCGAGATAAGGTCCCATCCCTCCTTGATAGAGTTCTTAGGTCCAGCGAGCTTAAAGTCATCGATGTAAACCACCAAGAGCAGCTTCTTCTTCGGATGGTAGAATACACTCTTCCAAATGTCCGTCAGTACCGCCTCGAACCCAACTTTCTTTAGTTCAGTTTCGCAGTGATGCTCCCAAATCCCCCCTGAATCGGGGTGTCCATAAAGCGCCAATTTGAGTGGTACGACAGGATCTTTCATACCCTGCCACGCCTTTGGCCAGCGATTGCGAGGCAATCTCACCCAGGCGGCAACTCCTTGGAACAAGGCTTGGGTGTATGCTTGTTTGGCGTCGGCCTGCTGAATGACATAACCAGGTTGGGAGCTGAAGACGTCTAGGATTTTCCCCGCTTCCATAGATGCAGGACTGCTTGACATCTCCGCGAAGAGCGCGTGGTCGGCGTTTTCGTCAAGTACTTTGTTTCCCTGAAACACCGAACGTCCCGTATACTTTCGATTAGGGTCACCTTCTTTCAGCTCGGCTCCCTTTAGGGTACCAATCTCAAAAACCTTGCCAAAATGTACCTTGGTCTGAGATTTCTTAGCTTCATTGGCAACCGATTCGAACTCCCTAACCTTGCCTTGTACCCAGCAGCCTTTGTCAACCAATTTCTGCCATTCCTTGTCCATAGCTGCCTGCGCCTTAGGGTTCGATGCGATCTCCTTAGACGACAGGACCTTGGCAACAACAGCATAAATCTCATCTGCGATCTGGAAAAGCTTCTTGTCGTATAACCCTTTAAGACTTTAAGTCGTTCCCGATGTTCCTCGCTACACCCATGTAGGACTGGCATTGCAGGTACCACCTTCACAGCTTCACGGTACAGTGCCTCATTCTCCTCATGTAGCTTCTTCTCATGTTCTGCAATTGCTGTTGCCCTTTGTCATTTCGACATAGTCTTCCATACAGTAGTATGATCAATCGCATTGGGGCGGTTCTTGTTGTTCTTTTTGACCAAACATTCCCCACTCCACACATAACCATACGGTGGTTCGTGCGCTGCTACTGCTGCACTGGACTTCAGCTTCTGCTTCACAGAGTACGGAACATCATCAAGCAATGCTGCACGGGAATCAGACTTCGACTCACCCTTGCGGGTGGCTTCTTTCGCGTCCTTCGGCGGAGGATCTTTATCACGATCAGGACCAAATAGCTCTGGGAACATTTCATCCAGGTCTTCACTAAGCTGTTCCTGAATTGTGGCTTCATCGTATCCCCCCCCTTCCTCCAGAGGAAGAGGAGGATGCGGGTTTTGCTCGTCAAGGACATTGTGATGTTGGGCATCCAGGCTTGGTGGTTTATCCAAGGCAAGCTCTTGCAACAAAGGAAACTTAAAGTCACCATCGGGCAGCTCCAGTCTCTTGGTGCGAAACACACGTAGATCTTCGTTCTCCAACGCGGCTTCGATGTTGTGTAGGGGAGCAACAACGTACTCAAGCTTGAAGATAAAACCAGGTTGAATGTGATACCCGAGGAATATACCTTCAATCCCTGTGCCAGAAAACTTGGATCGTTCAGGCTCGCGTTGCTTCTTCGGGGCCCAGTACAGGATTTTCGCTCCAAAGGGAATGCGCATGCCGTTGAACTTCTCACCGTACCTGATTTCCCACGGAATCTGACCATTGTCAATCCTCGCAGTGATGTTAAGACACATAGCATGATGTTGCGATGCAAGAGGCCAGTAGCGATCTGGGAGTCCTGATTGCACTAGATTGGCCCGTGTGCCTTCCAAAATGGTTCTGATTTCTCGTTCGATTACGGCCTTGTTTTCGTTCACGTACTCCCTAGAGGTGTTGTGACGAGCGCGAAGCTGCCTGGCCGCAAAGTCAAACTCCAACGCATTGTCGGAATATATAACCTTTACCTCATCATCTGTACCAAGGAAGTGCAACATGTCTTCGTAGCACTGCTCACCAGACTTTGTCTTGGAAGGATACACATATCTGAACTTAGAATACACGTCCTTCACAACATGAGCCACGGTTTCTTCTTGGAACCCGTAATCCTTGGCATCAGCAGTCACGATGTGATCTACCGTGATGTGATCACCGAACGATTTACTGTAGATTGTAGAGGATCCACCAGATTTCCGCGCCTGTGGTGCATACATCTTGGCCCTTTGACAACTCGGGCAGAACGGATTCTTTGGCCTATGGGTAAGTCGATGTTCCAAAGACACAGCCTCAGCCCTCAAGGAAGCTTCATCCTTCTTAGACGTTGGCATAGTGTATGGCTCGACATCGCTGTCGGCTTGCGCCTCAACTTCCCCTTCAGGCAAAGCAAACAGTGTAATCGTTGCAATAGTCCCTTCAGGTACTTCCCCATAGATTCCGTCGAATTCATCAATGTTGACCGAATCCTCCAACAAAGACCACACGTCATCCTTGAATCCCCAAGTAGTCCGGATTCTATACCTCGGGAACTTAGGAGCCGGTGTTCGAAACGTCTTTGGGAATTGAGCCACCTTAGCAGCGGGGCTGCCATTGATGACCGTCCAACCTGCCTTTAGCAGTTGTCTTGTTTCCACCCCAGGAATGGGAGGAATGCAATTTGCCATCTTTTCGCTGGGATCTTCTGCCGCGCCAGCTGGACCTTCAGGTTCATGTTCATGCTCTCCTCTTGCTGGTTCGGCATGCCCTTGCGGGCAGCTGTTTACCGAAAACCCGAACCGGACTTGACAGAGGTCGGTGCAACCTTGCTGCTGTCAGATTCTGAAGACTTTGCCGCTAAGCATGCCATCAATGGTCCTCGGTCGCCAAATACGGGGACATTGCCTCGGAGTTGGCAAATCATCTTCTGACCGTCTGGGCAAATGAAATATGGCGCCTCACCCGTAGGCCAGTGGAAAGAGAATCCCTGTTCCATGCGCTTCTTTCCTACAGAGCAAACTGCAGGTGTGTTGGGGAGCTCAACGAATTGCAATGGGTTCCTCAACGACTCAATGTAGACCTCATGCTTCGTCTCAGCGTGTACTGGTCCGTTAGCAGTGATCAAACTCACTGGGTTGGAAGCAACCTTCTTAGCCTTGCCCTTGAAATGGGCCTCCGAATCAGAGTGACTAATCAAGTCTTCCTCACTACCGGTGTCTGCGATGATTTCGAGGTTTTCACCTGTCACCGCTGCTGCAGCAAGTTGGGGCAGGGGAATGGCTTCTTTGCAGTGTGTGCAAAATCCTTCTCTACCCCGACACCTGTAGTTGCACTTAACCCGAACCTTAAGCCTCATCCCGTTCACTGCCGATTCCAAGTGACGGGCGTTCTGCAAGGCTTCTTCAGTGTCCTCCGGGATAGATGGTGGGCAACGGTCCGCCGACTTGTACCTGAATTCGTACTTGCGCTTCTCTGTGACGAACCTCCAACCTTCACCCTCGAGCGGAATGTCGATGATCTCTGGCCTCAGGAATTGGACCTTTTTGATCCCAGACTTCACGGCATGGCCCTTGCGGGCTGCTACTGCGTAGGATTTCCCAGCACTGGGCGAGGGCTCACCCGTGAGGGTGGCTGCAATGGAGAGGCAACAGGCTGCTGTCTTCTCCTCGCTCTTTGCCCTCTTTTTGCTAGGTCGCCTGCGCTTGCCGGAAGGCGATCGTTTGCCGTCCTTGCCGGACTTGTCACCCTTGGCCGGGACAGACGGGCTGGCGTCCTTATGCATAAACGGGCAATTCTTCCCGTTCTTGCAAGTGCCTTTGGGATAAAAGATGCATGGGATCTTGGAGGTGTCCTTCTTATCCCCGCCTTTACCGCCTTTACCTCCACCTTTCCTCGAAGGGGTTCGAGGTGGAGTTCTGCCACTGGTCTGTTCTGGCTTCACGTGCTTGTGTGGGCACTTGTCACCTCGTGGGCATTTGCCCCGCTGGAAAGCGTAGCACGGCTTGTCCTGGCTTCTACCGCGAGGGGTGTTCGGAGTATTTGAAGGGGCAAGGGCACCAAACCTGGCGCCGTGAGCCTTGGCGATTGCTGATCGGTTCTTCCGGGTCCTATCCCTTGCCAACAGCTCTTTAACGCATTTGACCAAGTAGTCATAAGTGCGCTGTTCTGTTCCTTCCTTAGCCCTGTCGTAGACTTCCAGATCAAACTTTAGCTTGCTTGAGTTGCGAAGCTGTCGTAGCAAGATGTCCCTCAAGGTTGTTTCCTCCGGCTGGTGGTTCAATCCTGCAATGACCGATTCCCAGTTGTGACTGAAGGTACTAAGGTCGTCACCACTCAGCTGGACCTTGAGGAGGTCTTCTACAGAGTAGAGGGATCCTGCTTCTTCATTGGTCTTGAAGTAGTGTTCGAACATCAGTAGAACTTGCCTACCACGAACCGCCCTACCTGCAGCTGCCTCAGACTCCTTGTTATTAATGATCTGTCGCCCCAAATCACCCCTGGCAACTCGCGAAAGCGCCGAAAGAATCTTCGTGTCCAAAGTGAGGAACTTGCCAATGTCCTTCAACTTCTCCGAATCCGCGTCCCTCGAGTAAACCTCTTGAACACATTTGAATGCCTCATCGGGTTTGTCCGATGCCGCCCGGACTGCCTCCCTAACCGTGATCTTCCAACTCCTGTAAGTCTCCGGGTTAGGGAAGTCGGGTAGCTTCACAGTCTCAGCTTCCTTAGCCTTGGGTTTGTCATCATCGGGCTTCTGGATAACTGACTTGAGTGCTTCAGCAAGGAGAACGCTTGGCTCTTTGTTTTCACTGGTGTTTGCCGGTTCTTTGTTGTCACTCTGTTCAGCAGTAGACACCTCTACGCCGGGGCCCTTTGTGTCTTCAGGCTCGGATATTTCAAACCGTTGGGTCCTTCCCAAAACAGTCCGAAGCGACGCAAGAATTTCCCTGGGGTTCGGTAGGGTCGGAATCCACGAACTGCTAGGACCCTTAACAAGCGGCGCAGCGGCACCACCTTGCGGTGGGCTTGGTTGAGGCTTTGAGCTCTCACTGGGATCAACTTTCACCGGCATGGCACCACCTTGCGGTGGGCTACTTTGCGCTGTCGACAAGACAGTCCTTAGGGAGTTGACCTCAGCTATGAGCTCAGCATTTCGATCCTGCAGGTCGTCAACCAAGTTGTCGTACTGCTGTTCCTCAGAGGTAAGCCTATACTGGAATTCGTTTTCCTCCCACTGAAGCTTTTCCTCAAACTCCGAACCCAAAAAGGCTATAAGTTCGCTGTGGTTTTCGTCGAAGGATGCGCGCATTTCCGCGAAACGGTGCTCGTGCTGTCTGTTTTCGGCAGTGAGCGTGCGTGCTGCTGCTTCCAGCTCGGATCGATGTGCATCAAACTGCATAGCCAACGACCGTTCATCATGACTTTCCCTTTGTGTGCGTGCCAGCTGTGCCTGCAGCTCATTCGCTGTGCGTTGTTCTGCACGGGCGATTGTCTCTAGCACTCTGACTTCATTGTGAAGTTGTCCCAGCAGTAGGTGTGTTGATTGGCTCACGAATGCCAGCTGCTGACGATGGTTCGCATCTGCTGTTGCCTCTAGATGAGCAATATAGGCGTTGGCTTCGGCGTACACGTTGTCCAATGCAAAGCGGTGTCTTTGTTCTGCTCGAAGCTCCAACGCACTTTGGATGCGGGGGTCATTCAGGAAGACATTGACCTGATTGTTTTCCTGCAACAATTGCAAGAAATACTGGTTGGCCTCCTGCTCCTGTCTACCACCAATACCACCATCATTGTTGTTGCCCGTGGCCGCTGTGAACGGCACTAGATCCATTACGGAACAAACTACGGCTGATAACCTGAAGATTCTCAGGCTAACAGCTTAGCACGGCTTTGTACCGGTAAGTCAACCCTGTGGACCTTTTTCCAATGGGGACTTGGGCCAAGTGCGTCGCGTACAGATATAGCTAAGGACCATAGAATAAGGCAAAAACTGACACACACACACACACGTGCACACACACACACACACACACACACACACGCACGCACACACACACACACACATGCACACACACACACACACACTTGACACAACGTGTCGCAGGTCTGGAAAGTCAGTGCATATCATCAAGAAATGTCAGGAGAAGTCAGAACCTCAAGCGCTTACTGGTTTGGGATCTCAAGGCACATCAGCAAAACGCGCGCAGATCACTCATGTAAAACTGACATGTGCAGTCCCTAACTCATGACTGTCGCAATCGCAAACGAGCTCTCAAGCTGCCACAAGCGTGACCCATGAGCAGCTCTGTGCGGGTACAGGTTCACACGTCTGTGAACCCATCCAGTCAACATCCGTAGCTTCGTTGGCATGGCTAGGACGTGACCGCCATGCCCCCTGCTGCCTAACACACTCAAGTCTCTTGGAAACAGAGTTGGACACACACAGGCCCCGAAGGGCTCTTTGCAGTGTTGGTGGTCGCTGCGCACTGTTTTTTCACCGATTTTGCATAAGTAAGTCTTGCCACTGCGCGGCGCCTAGAACAGCGGATTACGAAACTTCTGGAAACGCAGTCTGTACACCAAATGTAACTCAACTTCGGCTTCTTCCGCGTCAGGACCGAAGTACATGCAACACTGAGTTGCTGTTTGATATGCAGCGTTGGCTAGTGACACGATACTCACCCACAAATGCTCCTGTACTAGATCTACTACGGCACTCATCCACCTCTTGGAAATGCTGCCCAACATGGTACAGGTCACAGCATTGGTTTGAATGAATCGTATGGTGGTGTGTAGGGCCTGAACTCCCATGGTCAATTCAGCCGAGGACGACAGCCGAAATTCTTCAATACCACGCTGCAAGAATGCATACGCCACCATGGTGTCGGTTATGGGTTGTGCCTCCTCTGGATCGTCACTTTGTTCAAGTCGAGTAATAAATGTGATTCTGGTTCTGATTGGCAACAGGTACGTCAGGATGCTGCCGAGCACATCAGGGGCCGCCCGATCCATGTTTTAAGAGACTACAAAGCTTTCAGACTGCTTGATGTAAACCTCCGGTACATGTCTCATGATAGAATCTCATGAAAACGCAACACTCGCACATCACTCGCTTGTCTCCTTGCCCGTCTCTTGCACTGCACTTGCACGTACCTTGCACATCCCTTGCACATCACTTGCACTGCGCTTGCACGTCCCTTGTTCACCGAATCCCTTGACACAAAGCAATAGTTCACTCTTTTTCAAACTGTCACAACGAAATCAACAGGCACAAGAGTGTTGGCAGCCGTCACAGGCTCTGTAAAGCGAAGATGGTGGTGGTTTTGTACAAGTTGAAAATATAAGTGATTCATCTAGGCCCGGGGGGCGCTAACCCTTGCTGCAAACGGGGTCGAAATAAAAAAAGGTTATGAATCTAATAGGGTTTAAACCGTTCACTCAAAAGCTGTGTTTTCCCAACCAAAAAAAAACACGTCCCCCTAAAACAAAATCGATCCTTTTCTGGTAGCACGCACAAACCCTCGTCAGTCCAAAACCCTCCCTAACAAGGCCCATAACACATCCCTATTACGGTTCAGAAACTACAAAAGCTCAGGTCCTCTTTTTCCACTGTCCCGACACTCACGCTCGGAGCACCTGGTTTCTGTAGTCCCCTGCATTCCCCTGCCTTTCTAGCCGTATACATACTACCCATGAGCCTCTTTCTTCAAGGCGGCTGGCACTGGGCGCATCGCGAAGCCTTCGCGGTAGCACCCTGAGCCTGCTGCCCTGAATGAAAAGTCTGCGGCCCGTGGCCAAAAACTGCATTGGCCGAAAAAGCTCCCCAGCAGCCCAAGGACGGCAGCAGAAACTTCAAGGCCAAGCCTCAGGAGATGCTTCTCAGCATTGATCGTCGTCGTCATCAAAGTTAAGTGCCCCAAGCTCTTCAAGCTCTTCGTGGGCAGAACGCGCCAAGCTCAAGTCAGTGATCATCCTCGCATGCTTCTCAGCCAGAAGAGTATTTTTTCCTCCATCACTTGCACCAGCTGCATTCCAAACTCCCTGACTCTGCCGTGCAGAGTTGTGTTCAGATCCTGCACACGCTCAATCTTTTAAGAGTGCATCGGACGAAGTCGGGGACTATTGATTTTATTTTTTTCGTGGTCTATCATATTATTATTTTTTAGATTTTTGTTGTATTTTGTATGGGATTTGCCTACAGTTTTATAGCGACCAGTATTTTTTTAAATACTATATGCTTTGATTTTTTTATTTATGGGCTTAGGGGTTTAGGGTTAAGGGGAAGCACAGAGCACTGCACAAACTACCACAAACTGGTCTGGAATCTGCTGACACACCACTCGGACACTGAAGACCTTTGCGCACTCACTCAGTCACAGGCGTATTTGGCAAGTTTGCGATGCTGTTTTGGGCATGATCAATGCGGATTTCTGCATGCATTATGCTGTTTTGGGCATAAAAATATGCGGGTTTTGGCATAATCAATGCGGATTTCTGCATGCATTGTGCGGATTTGGGCATCCCATAACCCGACATGGGCGGGACACGGGCGGGACATGGCGGGACACGGGCGGGACATGGGCGGGACATGGCGGGACATGGGCGGGACATGGCGGGACATGGGCGGGACATGGGCGGGACATGGGCGGGACATGGGCGGGACACGGGCGGGACATGGCGGGACACGGGCGGGACACGGGCGGGACGTGGCGGGACACGGGCGGAACATGGCGGGACGTGGGCGGGACATGGCGGGACATGGGCGGGACATGGCGGGACATGGGCGGGACATGGCGGGACATGGGCGGGACATGGCGGGACATGGGCGGGACATGGGCGGGACACCCCAAACAGCCCCAGACACCCCCCGCGGGGCCCCGCCCCGGACATCCCGGACACGACCCCGGACATCCCGGACACGACCCCGGACATCCCGGACACGACCCCGGACATCCCGGACACGATCCCGAACACGAGACCCCCGAACGGGTGCTAAATCCCCCCCCAGACCTCTCCAAGGGCCCCCTCAGGACCCCCAAACCCCCCCCCAAGAACCCCAAAGCCGCCCCCTTGAGAATTCACTGTGTTTTCTGTGTTCTGTCCTGTTGTGGCCTTAAAACCCTTTATGAGTTGAACATGCCCCACAAAAACAAAACTGAAACGAATCTTTTTTGGCACGAGTGTGCTTGGTGACTGCAACAGGGGAGCTACCTCCGACATGGCCTTTGAGCTCTAGCTTTGCTTGGTGCCTCAGGGCTTCGTCAACTAAGGGTTCAGGTTTCCGGCTAAAAGCTTAAAAGCTGTAGCTTTGCTTGGGGCCTGAGGGCTTCGTCAGCTAAGGGTTCAGGTTTCCGGGTGAAGGCCAGTCGGGCTCCTACTCTACGGCCTAGCGCTTGCGAAGCTACCTCGGCCTACGGCTTCAGACCTCGTCTGCGAGCACTGGGTCCAGGATCCTTTCTCTCGAGGCCGGATCTTAGGACGAGAGGTCCAGGATCCTACCTCTCGAGCACGGATCTTAAGACACCAGGCCCAGGATCCTTCCTCTTGCCCAAAAATCTTAGATCTTAGGACTGCATGTCCAGGATCTTTGTGGTGGCGTCCAAGAAAAACCCGCAGCATCGTCTGAGGAGTCTGAGCCTGAGCCGGCCCGGCCGCCCGGCCCCTTGGCGATGATTGGCTGCGGCGGCTCTCTGGCCCTGGCTGCCCTTGCTTCGGCTCCTTCCCACAGGTTTTCGCATACAGAAACAAAACCTGTGCACGGGAAGCATTTCGAAGTTTGTCCCTATGTCGCCCAACACGCAGGGCAAGTGCAGACCTGGGAGCTTCCTCGGCCTCTGCAGATTCTGCATCGGACTCTCTGTCCTCAAGCTCACAGTCCCCAGGATCTGGAAGCCTAAAGATGGCAGGCTCTGCCATGGCACTATGACACTACACAACGAAAAGATCTGGCTTATCTTGGCTTATCCAATGTAACACCTCAAGCAAGCTAGGCTACGCCTACTGCCTACGCCCTCTTGCAAGATTGGATGATAAGTTGTCAAGCTGTCACTGTCACGTGAGTCATGTGCCTGAACTGTGCTGCGATTCGGATTCCCAATTCCCAATCGAGTTTCGGCCCGGCGGCTGAGAAATCGCGGAATTCGAGTTCATAAAACACCGACAAAGTCAGAAAGATATGCTTGCTTGCGGTTTGCAGTTTGGGTTGGCTACATCACAAGTTGTAGGTTTGTAGCTTTCACGACGATTTTGTTCCAAAACGTGCCGCGTTTTCTTGGGAAGGGACGGTACTTGTTTGGAGAGGCTGTTGTTCTTGTGCTGACTGATCGATGGAAAAATAATCAAACCCTACTACAACAAATCATTTTCAAGTCCAGGGCTTGGAACCCATGCTCCAAATGCCCTGAACCCTCTTGCGCGTCACGCCCCCCGGGCCTAGATGAATCACTTATAGTTGAAAAGTGTGTAACTTAGGCCACCAGCCAAAATTCTCCCAGAGTTGCACCGCGACGAGGTATTTGGCAACGTTGATGGAATCGTTGATTGAGAGCTGGATATGGAGAGTAATAGTCTCGTGTCCAGTTACCCGACTGCATACGCGAACCCACATGCGAAAAATGTAATCGCGGCTCACGTTCCAAGGTAGATCAGCTTCTCGAGCTTTCCGCTTCATGTTAGGCGACCTACAAAACCTCGTCAACTGCAAGTGGCTGCGACTCATGACGACCCATGCGAGAGGCTGGTAATGCGCAACGCAGCACAAGCACAATTCCACACTCCGTCAGCTGTCTTTCTCCGCTCTTTCATTTTCGGTCTAAGACATACTGCACAAGT